GAATTTGTTGCACTTGGAGAAAACTTTTAGGAAATTTTAATTTCGAAAAAATTTCCTATTAAATTATATGTAGAGTTTATCTTAGAGGCAAGTCTAGCATTGGGTGAGCTCATTCGTCATCGAAAATCCACCGGAAGTATGAAGCATTCGATTTGCGGCAAATATCAACGTGCGGCGCCACATTGACGAACGTTTCCACTATAAGGCTTCATAGTTTCAGGTTTAATTACCACCGACAATCCACCACACCCCTTGGGCACGCACACAATCTGCCTGCCCTGGCTGTGTCCTGCGCTCTGGGGGAGGATTTATACTTCACCTGCATGTTGGCGGCTAATAAACTAAATTGCTATTGGCCATAAAACAATCTTGGTACCAAGAGGGGGGAACGGACACACACACACACATAGAGCGCAGAGGAGGACCAAAAGAGGACCTTCAGGCATGGTCACAAGGGCTGAACTGGTTTGCAACAATCGGCGATGACAACCACAACAAAAAAAGAAAGGCAACAACAAGCGTTACACCAACAAACTAATTTAAACGCTTATAAAACAAAGCAACAAAAAAAATGTTTTCCCCGAGGCGTAACTAAAATGCACTGGATATATTGACAATATACACCGGATCTTAACTGTCTGAGCCCTGGTAGTTATCCTGACAATGAATACTGAATTTTTGATGTTTTTTTTTTGTGTTTCCAACAAAGGTGTATTAAGCTACGCCAGCGAAATAATATGAGGTTTTTTGCTTAATCGAGGTCTAGTCGGTTTGATTTAGTATAGAGAAGTGGTGACTAGACTATATGACACATCACACACATCAAGTTTTAGTCAGAAGATAGGTGAACCAGGTTGTCTGAACACTTTGCTTTTGATTTTAATAAGAAAGTTCCATTGGAGTTGAACATTTGCTATGATATACTAGCAAAGATGACAGACAAAAATTTCTATATATGGATATATATAAGATATATAAGGACATTGTATTATCGATAACTAAATCGTTTTTTTACCTGATATTTATACGATAAATCTATATTCCGTTATATATATCGAACTCAGCCAAAGAAGATACTATACAAATATAAAAGGGGTTACCAAAACTAAGCTTGAAAAATTCAATCAGATTTATTTGATTCTAAATATATCTAAGATATCAGATATCTAAATTTGCAATATATTAAAACTTGAGATATTCAATGTATTAAATTTTTGTTAACACATTTTATCTTTGTGTAAAACACATTTTACGGTAATCTACAAACATTTCTAGTCCGTTCTCTGTGCTGTTCTTCTTCGACCTCCCCAAGCGTTTCATCTTTATTTCCTTTGTGTATCCACCAAAACCGGCGGCGACACATTCAACAGAAATTAAGTTTTCAGTCTTGGGGCGTAGCTCGTGTAAATTCCTTCAGCTTTCATCTTTCACATTTCCTATTTTCTTTTTTGTTTTCCCCCTTTTACTTCCGTTTATGGCAACAACAGCATGTAAATGGATGCTATTGTTCCGTTTTCTTCATTTAGACGCTTGTAGTGTGCTTAAATTTTTCCACTCTGCTTTGCGTATCCTTCCCCATTTGTTGTCCTTAATAATGCCCCACACGTGCTTACATTCGTCAGAAATAATTCTGTACTTTTGGTGAAATGCGGGCTTGCTTTGTTGCTAATTTCGTTTCAACTGCTGAATTGTAGGAAATAATACAACTTGCGTACTTGTACTTGTGTTCTTTGCACTGTTTTGTTGTTTGGTTTGATACTGTTATTAGCTGCCAGCAGTGCAAACTATGGGGCGGATTTCCCCCTATAAACAGGATTGTTGTTTGCCCAGTCCGCAAGTTTGTTGGCTTCCCCAAGTGGTTACGAGGGCATTGACGTTATGTTTTCGTTGCTGTGTATAGATAAAGCTTCAATTTTAAAGGAAATTTGTGAATTTTTAGGAAATATATGCTTTATGATTAAAGAGAGGTCTTAGTTCACCCACAAACCTAAAAGAGATGAGTGTGTTTAATCGGAAATGGAGTGGATTTCGGATACACATATGGGAGCAGAGCTTAAGCTCCCTTCTCAATGTAGGACTGATATAAACTTCATTCCCACTTCCATTAATTAACAAATAATCCAACTGTTTAGAGGGCTCACTTAACGTCGCGACGTTTACAATCCATGTAAAACCAGAAAAGCCGGCAAGGAAATGTGCAATGGAGCAACTGCGCAAACTATTGGAAAATCAATAGTGCTATGACCTTTTCCATATATATAAAAAAAAACTATTTCAAGTATGTATGCATTTACAGCCAAGTTAGTGGATGTAGTTGTAAAGCGCATAAGCCAAATTCCCAAGGAGAAATACTGCAGTGGCGAACCAGGAGACTTGATAACTTAAATTTGGTTTTCAGGCCTTCAAGGGACTTTTCATGTTGGCAGGTTTTTATCGCCAAAAATAAACACTTTACGAGACGACGTCATTTGCAGTTGTCGAAAAGAAAGGAGTATATACCTGCATATATGTACATAAGTACAGATATATGTATATATATATTTCCGATTTGATTATGTCTAGCCCAAGTCAAGACTTTCTGCACAGTCACGTGTTGAAAGGCAATGCAATAAAGGTGGCTTGAAACGGCAGGAGGTTTCTTCTGCCATTTGGTTATGTAAGTGTCTAGAGCGGAAGAGGTCACAGGCAACAAACCGATGGAAAAGAAATGTTTTTCCTGTAAAATAAGATTATAAAAATATATCGAAATGCTCAAAGAAAGTTATTTTATACAAGTTTGTATACACCTATAAATTAATTTAATTAAACCATAAAGATTGGCTGAAGATATTTAAGATACCACCTAAGATTCAACTTACTTTACTCCTTAAGTCAAAATGTATACAAATTCAAAGAAGATCGTTAATTTACTGTGTAAAGTCTCCAATTTATCTCCTCCTTTTTTGGTTTATCTTGCTAATTATTGATTAATTTCTCATTCTTTACAGGTAAGTTTTCGCAACCAAAGGTCTGGGAAAGTGTACCCCTTAGAGGCACCTGAAAATCTTTAAAAACTATCTCAACAAGAGTGTTTATGGTGGCATCTAGTTGTATGTATTGAAAATATTTTTATTGTGTAGAAAAAATAGACTGTTACTATGATTAGTAACTTCTACTGCGATCTAAATTGAAGTGTATATGTACATACTTATTTTATAATTCTTCTATTTGCATTAATGTTTAAATTATTCACACACTTTTGTGGATCTAGTACCCAAGTGTAGGAATACAGCTTTACAAATGTAGATCAGAATTTATATATAAGAAAATATTGAGTACTGGGTATGATAATCCTTTTATAAATGAATTTTTTTGTTTTTCAATCGAAACAATGACTTGACAATGATAGAATTTTCTCTATATTTCTCATTAGAATGATTATCTACCATGATATATAACTGAATGTGTAGATTGTCTTTGTGCAAAAAGGCTAAATGCCTCAGATTTTCTTAGAATTTCCCATCTTATCCACTCGTTTTGGCCATATTGTTGTTTTCAACTGGCAACCGAATGCAATTAAGCGCCACAAATCGACTCGCTTCGAGGCGAGGCAGACAAAAAGACTGAAGGATGTTGAGTGTGTTTTTTTGTATGTCCACCAGCCAGACGTAAAACTGTCGCCGAAAACTGGGAAAAACAAGTACGAGTTTTACCCTAAAAGCGACAGCAGCCACCGTTTGATATTGGCTTTGCAGCGCATGCCAAAAAGGACACGCTACGCGACAAAAATTGAAACTACATTTAGCTAGGACAACAACGTTGCAGAAACGGCCCAAGGCATTCATGATTCATTTTTTGTGTCGCTTGGATGTAGTCCGTTGCCGGCATCACAGTTGCAAAGTCCTTCTCACTTCCGCTCAGTTGCTCCATTCGTTCAGTTTACTGGAAGAGGAAAAGTAAAGCCCCAAAAAGTTGAAAGGATTTAACAATTTGTCAGCTTAGTTCGACACTAAATAGGCAACTATTTCCGGTTTTCCTGTGATCCAAAATGGTGGCCATCTATTTGAACTTGAATAGTAAGTAAAGTCGTTAACCAGACATCGATCTAACTGCTCTGCTGCACAACGGATAGTCTATATTTTATTACTTCTGGAATTTGTAAAGCAAATTTCCTTCGTTGGCACATTTTAATTAAAACCTTCGAGCCAACAGCAGAGCTTGCGTGGTACTACCAATAAAGTTTCTCTGCCTTGATATGTTCTCCAAAACGGGGATAATGAGGTGGAAGGATGTTGGCCTGGCACCACGCCCATGCAACCATCCACTTTCTACGACAACATCACAACTCTGCTGACTCAGACGAATAAAAGCAATTAAATATAAATTAAAATGCTTTTATGAAAATTATGCAAGTGGCAACAGAAGAAGGCTCTTATAGTTTTTGCTCTTACGAACACACAAGAGTTTCAACGAAAAGTTTTTAATGCTAAATAATGAAAATAGTTATTGCATACTTTATTAAGTTAAAATTTGTCTTTACATATGCTCATGTACATACGTTTTAAAATGGAAGTGATATCAAAACTTTTCGTTATTGTTATCTCGTACAGTGTAATTAAAATTGTGTTCAATATTTGTAAATTTTAACGAAGTAAGTTGCTAGCAAAGTTCAAGTGGAGACGCCTGATATATGGAGATTCAGATGTAAATGTTAATTGGACCAAGTTTAATTCTTGGAATACGATGGTGAGAGAGAGCATTAAAGCTTAGATTTTTGAGTGGAGAGACCTCAAATTGGAGCTATGTATATTGTTAATGTATAAGCTTGAACGAAATAACTATTGGGTAAATTCACAGGTACACCAATACAATATTATAAAACAACGTGATCGATTTAAGACTACATTTTTAGTCAAATTCTGACATTTTTAACGAATTATGTTTAATAGAAATATTCATTTTAACGGCAGTGCCCACATAGAACCAATGAACAAATAAGCACTTTTTAGGTGTAAGTGTATTTTTATTATAATTAAAGTTGCTATATTATTAATTTGTTTGTATGGTGCGTTTGCGTACTGGTCCGAATCCTCTTCCGCGTCCTCATCCGCGTCCTCAATCGCGTCCTCAACCGCGTTCTCAACCGCGTCCTTTTGCTGGAATTAGAACCCGACATTGGCAAGACTGTCCTGCCTGTATGTTGAATATGAGTGAATCTCCGCCTTATTTGGTTTTCTCTTATTATTATTGTTTTCTTGATGTTGTATCCGTAAGTGTGGAGAATGCTAAAAGGGATAACAAGTTAGGGCTACTGTAGGAACAGGGATCATCGGTCTTACTCTGGCTGGGTGGTAGGTGACAGATGGTTTCTTTTTTTTTGTTTCTTCTTATTTCGATTTGTCTTATATTGTTTTATAAATATTCTTCTGCTTCTAAGAGGTATCACTAGTTAAGTCCTTTTTAGGATTAGGAATTTTCAGTCTTACCTTCGTCTTCTTAAATGGTGTAGCCCTTAGATACTCTAGAGAACCCTCCTTTTGGGTTTTAACGTGTTCGTTCCGATACTTTATCTCTTCCATGACGCGTAACTCAGATACTCTCTTGTCCTAAGAGCGCAAAACTTAGAAATACAATCTTAAAATAAAAAAGTATTTGAATCATTCTTACTTCTTTTGTGGTGACTCCTTACTGCTAAATGAAAACATGTATAAAGTGTTATACTTAATGCTAGAATAAAAAATTATCACTTTATGCTTAAACCTAGCCGAAAGATATTTTTATATAAAAATAATATTTTTGTACTGAGCTGGGAGCTGTGCTCGCTCTAGAATTTGGATTTGAACTGAATATTCCGAGCAGCGTTCATAGCCAAGTCGAATTTTGTGCCTATTAGAAAACCAAGGACTACTAGTTTTCTTATTTATAAAAAAGTAAGCAAAGCAATTCGAAATTCTTTACCCTTGCAGTGAAAATCCATCATAACTCAGTCAAAATTCATTAATTTTCAATCGGAAAGCTTTTCTGTATTGGTTTTTAATAGGTTAACAAATGTGCATACTCAGTTTAAAACCTAAGAATTTTGACAATTTTTGAAAATTTTAACGATGTAACCCCTTATTAAATTAAAAAAAAATGGAAAAAATTTGTTTTCTTCCGGACAGGGCTAGATTGACTCGTTAGTTGATGCTGATCAAGAATATATATGATTTATAGGGTCGGAAATGATTCTTTCATAGCGTAATAAGGTTCTGACGGAAATTATAATACCCTGCAAGTTTAAAAGAGTTAAGAATTTAAAACAAGTGTTTCTTAGCTGATTTAAAAATCAAGCCTAAATAACATACGTAGGCTTGATTATATTTCTATACATGTTATGTATAAACATATATAATGACATAAAATGTTCCCCCTTTTGATTCGAGGTCCATTAAATAGTTTTATTCAAAAACAAACCCCTTAGGAGTCATTTTGGATGTTATCCCCAACCAAATGCTTGTTTGATCTGAATTGGCACACGTTCTGGTCAGGATTTTGTAATTAAAAAATGCGAAATGTCAACTGCTCATATTATTTCCGCTTTTGTGGACAAGTGGCATAAAAACTCGCTTTCTGGCTTTTTCTTCCGGAAAAAGGTGCAAAAATGTTTAATTGAGGTCAACAATTTGTGTGTTGGTGTGTCTGAATGTGAACGAATTTTATGCTGCTGCTCATACAGGTACTCGTCGAGTACAGGGGTATATACTAAATTTATGGAGTGAACTATGTTAAGTATGTTTGATGCTGAAACATTTCATAAATGCTTTGAAATTAAGGCGAAGTTTTTATGCAACAAATTGACAATATGAAAATTGTGCAAATCCATTATATGTCAATTCCAACTATACTATGTATAAAAACGGAGTGTGTTTCCATTTGGCCTACATCTTTATATTTCTTTACAAATTTGCTTTTTTAGCCTGCGGTTGTAGGTTTCACAAGCTTCCAGTGGAAATGTTACAGATTTCCATGAAACCTATAAAAGTCAAGTATGTGCTCAAAAATTTTTTAAAACAGCATATTATTATTATTATTAATACCTTTACTACGCAAACATAATTTGTTTGATAAGGCAGACATTTTTATTACTCTAACATCGAACTTTATTCATTTTTATAAAGTTGAAAAACCATATCATGAATAAATAATGCAAAATATTATTCTTCATCAAATAAATGCATATGTATTAATATCTAACAAATTCTGGTTAATAAATTTAATATCAACTCTAAAAAGTAAACATAAAGATTCCTAAAAGCACTTTTTAAGATGCCTTGCTTTATAAATCAGGCAAAACTTTGAAAGAAACTCAATATTCGACCAGTTAATAATCCAAAATATCCACGTGCAAGACTCCCTAATTTTTGGGATTTTCGCGATCAGAAAACGAACGGAGTTGGCAGCACCGCTGTCAAGAAAATACAAACCTGTGCGCCCAGCTTTAGCTTTCATAAAACTTTTGTTAAAAAGGCCGCCGTCTAGTTTCTGTTAGTTGAAGAATATATTCCTACATTATCTAAGGCTTATTCCGATACATGTAAGTTGAATAAAGAAATCTAAAGAAATAGTGCAAAAGGCAGGGCAAGAGCTTTTTCTCTCTTGCCGGCTTTGAATCGCATCGCATTTCGTAAACACAGAAATTCTGGAAAAGGGCATCCGTTTTCTGAATTTCTCACTAAATACTGTGCATATGTACGTACATACACATTCTGGTAAAGATTATCGAATGTCAAGTACCTTTTTTCCAATCTGCTAAAATTTGTCAAGCTTAAAAGAGGTGCTACGCCGCCCTGCACTTGTTTTAGAATTCGCTTGGATAGCTTCTTAAACCTTCCTTCCCCCTCAGTGAAATGGCCAGCGGTCAGCAAGTTCCTCCGGAGCGCCACTTTGGATTCCAGTGCCTCAGCTGTTTGGCGTCCAACTTTCCGGGTCGCCGCTATAGTTGCGCCGTATGCACAACGTACAACTTGTGTGGCGATTGCTTTGACGCCAATCTTGGCCCGGAAGTTGACAATCATCTATACTACCATCCTCTAAAGGTATATTACACACGCACCGCACTCCAGCTGTACTTCAATGGCGAAACCGAGAGATATTCCATAAACAACCCCTCGCTCCAGAGCTACAAATGTGCTCTGTGCCATGTCCGTGGCCTGACTAGCGGCCAACTGTACAAGCATCTCTCGAAGTATCATCGTTCCCATCGGGATTATAACGAGTACGCCGATATGGTGTACATCTATAACCAATCTGAAAACTCCATGACGCCGCCGACCGCCTCGCTGCAGGATGAGGAGCAGGATTCGCAAGATAGCCGTGCTATTGTTGACTTTCTATTGCCGCCGGAGCAGGCAAGGCGCTCGACCCATTCCCGCAGGGGCTTTTGCGAAGATGGCTTGACCATGGCTCAGCTGCTGGTGCAATTGAAAATGCTTAATCTAACTGCCCCAGACTTTCCCATTCGTTGTGTGGACATCCTGAAGCGGGCCCATTCGCTTCAATGGCAGCAGAGTGGTCGTGATGTTGTGAAGACTGCGGAGAAATATGTTAATCTAATTGAGCATGAGGTGGCCGCCGGTCTCTGCGAGCGCCGTCAACGTCTTAGTCGCACATCATCCATGCGCGTAATTCAACGGAACGGTGCAATGATCGTTCTGCCCGCTTCCAATGGATCAGAGACAGTGCGTACCCCTGCCACATCCTCGGAGACCAGTCGCACACTGATCATCAACGAAGACTCTGAATTTCCTGGCGTGGTGGGATCTGGCAAATATCGCCAAGCCCTCGGGTCATCAAAGCACCCGAAGGTGTTGCAGGATACCAAAGACCATGAGGAGAAAACTGAGGCCTCTGACAAGAATCGCTTTCTCTGCTCCAAATTCTTGGTGGGCAACAAGTCCACAAACCGCAGCCGCGTCGTCAACACTCAGCTAAAGACGACGTTCATTGAGTCCCTACTTTGCTCAATGCTGGCAGATGAAGAGCTCGGTCCATCGACATTCGAGCCGTTTTCCTTAGGTGATCTGAAGAGTCAGGATGCGGAGCGCCAGAAAAAATTAACCATCATTTCCTGGAAACCACATCAAAGCACAGTGACAAATAATTTGCCAGTGCAGATGCCATATATGAATGAAATGTTACGTTTTTACAAGGCCCTTGACGTATACAAGAACAAAATGGATAATCTAAATCCTTCGACAGACGCAGATAAGGATAAGGATACTGCTGAGGAGCCCAACAATTCGAATAATGATGAATTTTCATTCATGGATGACTCTGCCGAGTCGAATGGGGATGGTGATGGGACTGGTAACCAAGGAAACGCGAATGAATCGGCTTCGGGAGTCAACCCAGAAATGCCAGAAGCTAGATCGGACTTTGAACTATTGGAATTGACCATGGCCCGTATCATTCAGGGCATAGATGCCATCATCAACGATGACATCGATTTTTGATGTACTTAAAACTGAAGGATCATCCAATTAAAAGCGCAGTCACGAACAGAATGAAGAATTAATTTGTAATTTGAATAAAAACAATAATAATAATAAAAACATCGACTGCCAAAAAAAAAAACCATATATCCCCTTGTAAATGACCTAAAACTAGATTTCCAAGATATTAGACAGGTCGATCAACCTTTTTTTTAAATGTAAATACTACTTTTGAAATCAAGTCATCAGAGCTTTTCCCATTCAACCAGCAGTGCTGTGTTTTGTTTATATTAAAAGTTTCCGCCGATATTGATCGTTAAAGCTTGTTAGAAAAAATATCTATCGGAGTATCCAGTTTCTCATTTTTCTTTTTTTTGTTTTGTGCTCTATTGTTGAACAAAATGAGTTCCAATTTTCCGGCGTTGCAACTAAGGTGCCTTGGCTGCTTGTCCCAGGAAGGCTTGGGGCGCCGATACGAGTGCTGTTTGTGCGGACCGGAGGTCACCTATTGCGGCCCCTGCTTCGACGAAGGCCGCAATAGTCCGACGCTCAACCACATGTACTATCATCCCATGAAGGCCATTTACAGTCAGCCCGATTTCGACCTATTCTTCCATGGCGAAATTCAAGAGAATGGCGAAGCTCCGCAGAGCTATAAGTGCCCCTTTTGTGATGAGATGGGCTTCACCGGTGAGGAGTTGCAGGTGCATGTGACAGTGAAGCACGGCGAGCATACTGATGGTCCTGCCCTGCTGGCCATTCTGGAGGTCATAAACCAGCCGGAGACCGGAGAGGGCAAGGCTGTGTTGGCCAGTGTTAGGAAATTGTCGGGGGAAGACATTAAGGGTGAGTGTAAGCAATTGCAATAGGGGTCGGGTTTCTTCTGCAAGGGCCAGGAAGCGAAATGATACATGTCTTCCTTAAGGATGTATTTGCTATTATAATTACTATATAATTTTGTGTAGAATAAGGTCAAGGTTCCTAATTACAAAAGCTTAAGACACGATTGTTAGATTGTAGTCATATAAGAAAAGTGTTAAGATCTTTTCGACTTTCTTTAGCATTCCAAAAAAGACAGAATGCCTTGCATATAATAGTTGATGCTCCCCAAATAAATATATATATATTTTTTATGAATCTCCCTTCCCTGCGTTGCAAACTTCGTGACTAATATCATCATACCCCTTGCAAGGGAATAACGAAACTGCAAAAATGACGTCACTGTGCTCAGATGGGGGAAAAATAAAAAGCTGAGCTAAGGGTTACAACCAAAGACCGTCCACCCTCAACCGCAACTATCCGAGGCGGCACCCCAATGCACAAATATTGAATTACTGTAACCAAGCCTCCATCTCTTATTCTTTTCGCCACACAGCCACTGAAATTCGCTGCCAGGAGAAGTCCCGTGGAGGCCTGAGCTATGAGGTCATCCTGGCCGAACCGGCACCCAATGTTGCCGTGCCTAAGCGTCCGGTCACCCCCGGGAAGAACGTCAGCGTTGAGGAGATTGAGCAAAAGCTAAAGGCGGCCGAAGAGCGTCGCATCGTAAGTACATATAGTATATACATATAAATGAATCTCTGTTATCTTATTTTTTCTTACACCAAAAACGTTTTGCATTTAGGAATAATAACGAAATATCATGTTACTTTATCTTTCACAGTCTCTGGAGGCCAAGAAAATGGCCGATATCTCGAATAAGCTAGCCAAGGTTGAGGAGGCCACTCGCAAAAAGGATGAAATCACTAATGAGTTCATCACTCAGACCAAGGAGCAACTGGAGTCAAAAATGGAACAGCATGTGGAGAAGAGAGAAGCCATTATTAGCGATATGAAGGAGAAACTAAAGGTACATTGTATTATTAGTTAACTCTGCTATTTATAATAATTGGTTTTCTTGCAGATCCATGCCCAGGAGATTGAGAAGACGCGTGAAACTTTAGAGCAGCAGAAGGCCAATGAGCAAAAGGCTATCGAGGAGAAGTTAAAGATTGCCCAATCGCTGCGCGATGAGAATATCAAGAAAATGTTGGATCGTCTAAAGGAGCATGTGAGTCTCTAAGAAAAAGACCACTTCATATTCATCAGCCATTATATATTTAAAGCTTCTACCTTACTTTTATTCATGTTAATTTAATTTAAATAGGTATTGAGTTAAAAACTGGTCAAAGTTTTCGAAGAATTTATCTTCAAACTTAAAATCAATACTATTTCGATATTGGAAGCGATATATAGATAGATCGGTATTACATCTTTAAAATAGGTGTACGAAAAATCCATATTCATAAATTTAATAACATAACAACAACCGCTAGCTTTATATAAATAAATAAATATCATATTTTTTGATATATTTAAGTACACAACTTTAATAGCAAGTAGGAAAAACTAAAAGACAGACGTGACATCCTCTAGTTTAAAATTCAAATAGCCGAAAAATTTAAATAAATATACATCCCTCAAAACAGTGAAATAATTTTTCAGTTAACAACATAATTAGCATATTAATGAGTGTATGTTCGTGTATATTTTAGATGTAAATATTTATGTTTGATCTCATGTATCATATCATTTATTTGGTTTCATTTCTCTTATATCCTCTCATTTAGAACACAATCAAAATTGCCGAAATCAAATCGCAGAACGATCAATTGGAATGTCAAAAGCTCGAGGAGAAGGCACGCCTCTATGAGAACAAATTGTTCGCCGCCGAACTGAAGCGTGAACAGGAATTACAGAAAAAAATTGAAAAAGTTCAAAAACTAGTACGTTTCTGCTACAAAATTAAACCTTTTCCTTGGACTACGTCTTATTAGCAAACTTTGTTGCATTACTTGCAAAATAATTCTTACCTTAAACTCTCTTATCTTTGCAGGAGCGTCGCGCCGAATTGGTGCGCCAGAATAAGGCCCAGGCCCAGGATGTGGACGGACAGCAGAGCCCCATTGCCTCCTCCGGTTAGAGTGCAGGCCGCCATGCACCGAGAGAGCTATGCTGAGCATGGATCCACATTACTACTACTGCAAGTAAAAGCAACTACGACAAAAACAACAGCTACAACAACAACCACACTGCAAACACGAAAACATATTTCCCAAACAAAAAATAAGAACAAAAACACATTTAAGCAGAAACAAATAAGCTTCAACAAAAATTTCAAGTATTATAAAAAAGAGAAATGGAAAGGCGACGAGTGGAAAGGCTCAAGACTCCGACAAGCGTGCTGGGAGTCACGAACATCAAATGGAAAAGCAACACAAGAAAAACTATTGCATACTGCAAATTAATGCAAAATACATTTATTAAAGGAAATTTACAACTAAACACTTAAAAAAGAAGGGCCTGGTGAAAAAAATCAAGAGCCGCCCATTTAATTTCATGAATTCGCTTTAAATTTCATGTTATTTTGTTCTGCTCCTTTAAAGTTAAAACTTTTCTGCTTTCCCATTGATTTTCATTTTTAAATTTATAGTTCATTTTTGCTTTATTGATCGATGTTCGATATGAATGTATTTTGAAATAATTTGCAAGAAAGCTCAAAAAGCCATGTGTACTTGAAATGTAATTGCCTCTTTAAATTGTAGTTGCTTTTGCAAGGAAATTTTTTCATCTGATCTTTCATTTATATGAAGTATATGTATAATTTAATTTATTAATTTTCACAAAATAAAAAGAATAACAATCAAAATAAGCAAACGTAACGTATATATTTTTTATGTGTTCGCATTTTGTATCTACATATAAATGCATAAGTGTCATGCTGAGGAAATACATAAGAAATGCTTATAAAATTAAATAAAAACAGAACAATTGAATACAAGATACTAAACAGAAGGCATTTTTGTTTTATTTACAAAAAAGCATTAAGTATTAGGCATTAATATAAACAAACAAAACACGATACAATAAAAATACTTACAAACATATTCATATATGTAAAATATATGAAAATGCATATTTTGTCTAACGTCAAGTATTTAGAAAAAAGGCGAGGCGAGGGTTTTTGGGCCTCGGCATTATGGGTTAATTCAAAATTTAGTGGGGAATAAGTTGAAGAACAAGCAAGACGAACATTTAGGCAAAATTTTTGGCGCAAGACCTGAGAGCTCTTCCGTTTTTATTTCGCCACCTGAAGGCTCTGCCAGGTTAGCTTAAGCTTATATCTCTTAAACCGTATAAATTGTGTATTCGTGTAAAACTACATATGGCTAATACAATTGAATAACCCCACGCAAACTGCTCTCTCCCAAAATAAAATATATAATACGGCATTCGCAACACAACACAACTCTACACGCACAGGCACCGAAAAACCACTTACCTAAGACATGTGAAAGCTTTCCCAATAACATTTCTGAAAAGAGAAAAAAAGGTAAACCATTGCAAGTGAATCAATACAATTGATAAAATGCTTCGATATTTACTCAATTTACTATGTATTTATATATATATATATAATCAAATGCAATATTTAAGCCGATAAAAACTTTTGTATGCAAAATGAAAACGTTTGTGTTTACATTTATCACATCGATGTTCTCGATACATAACCCAGTAAAATTCGATTGCTTACGAAACTTGATTTCTAAGTTGCTTGCATAACATTAATTAAGATTACATAAGCAACCAACAAATAAATGATTATATAAGCAAGCAAAAACTCTTATAATAAATGTATAATAAAACTGCATAATATAAATAAATGAGATATTTATAATTGGTATATAAATCATTCGCAATTTTGATTTTTGAACGTTTTTGTGGTGGCTTTTTACTTGGTCTTTGAACTGCAAATTTAAACTTTTATAAATTGATGGAAAAAAATATGCCTAAAAATGTTATTTCATACATTCGCTTATACACGGAAGATGGTTATAATATATATATATATGGGCAATTCTCTGGTGTCGAATGCGACATTCGTACGCATTCAAACTAAAAAAAACTACAAATTGAAACGAATAGCTCTTGGTTATAATTGGTGCTAAGGTCGATTTTGAACCCTTGTTTGTTTTCAAGATATTCACTAAAATGTACTGCGTTCGGACGCGACAAAAATAGAAGTTACATTTGCAAAGCTTAAGCTCGGATTTCAGCGAAACGTGATGAAAAATTGTAGTACAATACATTTTAATGAATTACGCAATGAATTTTCTTAATAATGTATGTTGTTTGATTTTAAAATATTAAGTAGTTATTTTTTAAATTCAATTTTAGTCCCGGTCGCACGCGACATTTTGGAAAGCGATAATTTAAATTAAAACTGTACGACTATTGGTAATCGCATATGTTCTTTTGCATTTTATATTGACTCTTTGGGTTTTTTATGTCATACTAGAAACCAAAAGTCGAAGCAAAATGCTTCGGTTTAAGAGATTGGCATCAAAACAAAACATGCCATTTTTTATGCCTTTTTTTTGATAAAAACAACATTTTTTTGCGTTTGCGCGTGTTTGACATCGATTTTTTTTAAACTTATTTTAGAAAATGAAAAATTCTCTTAGTCTTGATCATCCTGACCATTTTTTTATGTAATCATGTTAAAAATACTCGTTTTTAAGCAATTTTAAGTTTTTGGCCGCGGTAGACCTTTCTGGAGAATTGCCCATATACAGAATAAATGGTAAGGCGCAACCAATTTGGTTCTGTTTGATTACTTTAATTAATTCAAATTAAGCTAATAGGTGAGAACTAAAACGAAGATTAGCTAAAAAAAAATAAACAAACAAAAAACCGTTATTACAGTATTTTTCAAAATTGACCAAAAAACGAAAAAAAAAATTGAATTCAAATGGATTGTTAGCAAGGGTCACACTAAAATTACAACGACAAAACTAATTTGTAAAATGTCAAAGTTGCAGTGTCAAATTATGTAAAATTGCATACAGGAATGCCGGAATGGAACAACAAGGCGGAAAATCGAAATGAAACCATGGTATTTTTCGGAAAATGGCAACACGGTTACACTGCGCCTGATAAATTGTGAATCACAAAATAAAAGTTAAAAATTAAGTAAAAAGTGCACAACAAACACCTTACACACATACACAACACAATGGCCGCCACCCTAAAGCCCTACCTTACCGCCGTGCGCCACTCGCTGACTGCGGCAATGTGCCTGCAAGACTTCCCGTCCCAGGTGGTCGAGCGACACAACAAGCCGGAGGTAGAGATCTGCTCCAGCAAGGAGTTGGTTCTCACGCCCGTCGTCGTCTCCCGGAACGAGCGCGAGAAGGTGCTGATCGAGCCCTCGATCAACTCGGTTCGCGTTAGCATTGCAGTGAAGCAGGCAGACGAGATCGAGCGCATTCTGTGCCACAAGTTCACGCGATTCATGATGCGCCGCGCCGAATCCTTCATCATTCTGAGACGGAAGCCCATTGAGGGGTATGACATCAGCTTCCTGATCACCAACTTCCACACGGAGCAGATGTACAAGCACAAGCTGGTCGACTTTGTCATCAGCTTTATGGAAGAGATCGACAAGGAGATTAGCGAGATGAAGCTGGCAGTCAACGCCAGGGCTCGCACCTGTGCCGAGGAATTCCTCAAGCGCTTCTAGGTGAGTCTTTCCGGCTTCTGGAGGTATGTACTAAAACATTCATACATTCCAGGTCAATCGGCGGCTCGTTACGACGCATTTAGTATTTCCATATCGGATTCAAGAATAAAGACGGCTTTTTATTATGTATTTTACCCAAACTAAATCGTCTTCAATTGGGAGTACTTGGGCCAATCCACCACATTACTACGGCGTTCTCATAAAGCACTTCCTTATTTGGCCGGAGCTTATCCTCTTCTGGAGGCGTTCGTGCCTCGTCTACGATTACCGTGCCGTTCATGGTTATATCGTCGTCTACATCGCTACCGATAAAGTGATACTGTCCCGAACCGGTAGCCATAATCGGTAGGGTTGGATTCAAGGCGATTCCGTTGCAGCAATCAGTGTGCAGAGGAAGTGAGGTTGCTTCCTTGTCACCACCAAGATCCCATATATTAACAACACCTGTCGTGTCGCCGCTGAGCATCCAACTATGACCTGTCGTGAAGTCAAACTGGATGCGTTGGTTGGTGTCCACGTTACGCTGGAACTCGGCCAGCGGTGCCTTGTAGTTTCGCATGTCCCATTGCAAGAGTTTATTGCATTTTCGTGCTCCGCTGAAAAGATAACACTCTCCGGGCGCACCCTCGGCGTATCGCAGCTGGGTGATACCGCCCTTGTGGCCTCCTAGAGTAAAGAGCGGGCCCTGCTTGGGGCTGCAGCGGAGGTCAAAGTGTTGAATGTAGCCGTGCCAGTTGCCGCAGGTCAAGGTGTTTGGACTTTCGCTGGTTTGCGCAATGCACGAGATGGCGAACTTTACGGGATAATCGTCGCAAATTCGGCCGGGCCTGGAATATAGTCAAGGATTTAGGAGGCGATGCAAGATGGCCCAGTGGATGGCGCTTACCTGTTCGTATCGAAAATCTTTATGCAGCGCTTGTAGCCTGCAAAGATCCGCTGCCCATCGGCGGAGAAGCCCAGCGAGATGGCTGCCATGACTTCGTCAACAGCGTCGTACCCACTGTAGCTGCACCGCAGCGTCCCGTCGAAGGCGTCCCACATGTGGATCGGTTCGTGTTGGCGCGTGGCTAGCCAGCTAAAGCCATACGGAAGTTGTTATTTAATAATATTGGGATTAAAAGCTGGTTTACTACTCACAAACAGGATTCTGGTTGCTGGCTGTTCATGTGTGGGTACCATACACAGTCGTAGACAGTTCCTCCTTCCGGAACGTGCACTGCAGACTGAAGCTTCGACAGATCGCGTGTCGTCGTCTGCATCGTTGGTGTGGCATAGAGATCTGCGGGCAGCTCCATAACATGCATGCCGTCAAGATGCACCGGCACTAGAAGACACGTTCCGTCTGGGGACCAGTAGCAGCCTTTGGTATAGTGCTGTGCATCTGCAGACGAGGTCCAGCAGCGCCGCCCCAACTCGATTATTCTGCTTTGAAAATACTCAATTGGAGAAGGAGCTGCCTCTGGCTCAACTAACTCTTCCGCCTGCGCATCCCGCCCTTCTGCAGACGCCGGCATATTTGCCGTCGAGGCATCGAAAGTGTCTTCTATGGCAATGATGCGATCACTCTCATCTGCCTCGTCCTCGTCATCGTCTGCCAGCGAGATCTCCTCCAAAAGGCTCGTCCCCATAGCTTTGGTTGTGTTTACAGACGCGTTTTCTGCTTGTAGCTTTAGTTTTAGTTTCTCAGCATCCGAGAGTGTTATACTCAGCTTGGGCATCGACATATCCATGCTTGACGTGACCATGGTGCTGCTAAAGCTCACGTTGTGGTTAAGCAGCGATGCCGACATATCGTTATCCTCCTCTATGTCGCACATGCTGGTGCTCAGGTTTTGTCCTGAAAGTTCTGCCATGGACGACACTTTTTTCTGGCGGTGTCTTGAGTTGTTGCCTATATTGGCTTGCTTTCCTTTGAAAACACTGAAGTATTTACGTATTTTGGGTTTGTTTACCTCAAAAAACTTTAAATTGTGCCCGCCGTACTTTCTGTTGATAATGTTTAACTTTGTACACAAAAACCGCATATTTCAGCGTTCACGGCAATTGGGCACACTAAGACGCCAGTATAATAATAAATTTACACGTGTACAATTTTACCCTGTTACAGATACATGGGTAGAATTCATGTCTTGAAACGTTAGTTAAATTTGTAAACAATCTGCTCCCGTCCATAAAGGGGAAGGCTGTTAACTTACGCTGAGCAGATCATTTAACAGAATAGAGCGTTAAAATTAGATAATCGTCTCGTCCAAAATAACTTAAGTCTGGCGCTGCCAGACTTTAACAGTCTTTGTTTGTTTACGATAAGTCGATAGGTAATCGATGCTTTTCCGCCATAAGGGTGTTATATTCAAACAACTGCCTATGACTATTATTGCCTGTTGAGTTATTAACACTGAAAACATAAATCCTATTTAAATATAGAAATTATGCAGACTGGGAAATTATAATTTGGTCGCACATTTTGTTGTTAATAGAAAATATTCAACATTATAATTTAAAATTTATGTTTAATAATATCAATATGGAATTGACTAAAAAGAGCTTTAAACTTTATACTTTTAAACTCTATAAACTTTTCTTTAATTTCATTTAAATAAATAAACGATAATAATAGAATGTAATAAAATTTATTGCCACTGTTTATTTCTCATTTAAAAAAATTGAAATTTAATTCTTCTCCACATATTTTAATGGAATTCAAAGACTACAACTAAAAGTGCAACGCCGCTAGAATAGCGAAAAGCATTATGTGATTTGTAATGGAAACTCCCGATGCCTGGCTTAGTGACCTTTTCTCTAATTGGAAAAACATGGCAGAGACGCTCAGGGGCAAGGCCACCTGCTGCTCGGAAGCATCGAACTCTAGGTCATGCCTATGGCCCAAAACTAAGCGTGCGCTTTGCAGAACCCGTTGATGAGGGGCTGCTCCGTCAAGCAAAGCCAGATCCGCCACATGGAACTCGTATCTGACGCTTAAGAACATATTCCGACAGGTTAGGCTCTGCTGGAGATCATCATATACTCCCAGCACCGATGGTGGAGTTTCATTGGGCTTCTCGGGGTAGTGCAGATGCAGAGGCAACCACTTTTCCGGCTGGGGTCTGCCTAACTGAGAGATAAACACCTGGCCCACCTCCTCCAGGGAGCTGCAATTGTAGGGCAACAGCTGGCTCCATATTTGGGATTGCAACCTCTCACAGTATTCAGTGTGGTTGGCATTTTCCTGGAGAAGAGGCGCTGCTTGGTGGAGCTGGCACTGTTTTACAATATCTACACCCAGTCGTAGGACTTCTTTCTGATCCAGCGTAGATTGACAGGACATTTCTCGAGACTTCCGTGTGAGCAGGGGCAGCCAGTGAAAGTCCTCGAAACTCTGTGGCGCATTAAAGTAGCTTAATTGCTTTTGCTCCTCGCTGTTGTTCTGTGGCAGAATTTTAGAGATGATTACGGGCGAGCCTGGCAAGTATCCCAGTGGACTTGAAGTGGGTTTAGCATATGACTCATTCTGAGCGATGAAATTCACTTTATAATGCAACCACAGGGGTTCGTTGTCATCCCCCGCCAAGGGTTCACCTTCAATCAAGACTTTGACCCCTATGATATTTGTGAAATTGTGGGTCACCTGAATTTCCACTTTCTCCGCCAAGATATCTATCTGTGTGTCATTTTCCCGCTCTAGACAATGGAATTTTCCATCCTCCCCTTTTGGGCACACCTCAATAACTAGTCCTGCCACATCCCGCTCGTCTCTATCATAGGGTTTGGGCAACACCTCGTGTGTGGCGGTGAGATTGAGGATGCTCCAGAGACTCTTTTGCAGTTGGAAAGAGTTCCTCATCAGACAGTTGCTGCTCATTGGCTGCAAGTGACGAATGGACTGCTTCAGTTGGCAATGCGGGCCCTCATAGGCAGTGGGCAGGTCAAAGGTTGTCAGTTGTTTGCCCTCTGACTGCAGTAATTGCAATGCCTGCCTGAATTTGTAATGAGGTTCCGGGAATGCAGCCTGCGCAGGGGAATCTGTTTCGTAGGCTTCCAAAATGTCCGGCCATCTCCGATAATGCGAAGCATCAAAATTTGCAAAAAGTGACGGAGTCTTGGCGGGTTTCGTATTGCTGCGAAAGACACATAGCCAACCGTCATTGATCTGGCAGGTGGGCAGACCGTGGATATACTGAAAGTCCTCGAGTCTGGACTGAAGCAGTGGCAGAGCCGAGTCCGAGTGGCAATCAAAGACCCGTCGAGTTTCGGGCGGACAGTCACGGTCACAGCAGCAATTTAGATCGCATTTGCTCGTCTGCAGATCGCAGGAGCAATAGTATTTTGGGTTTTCCCCTAAAATAAGCGGATGGGCGGGAGCCTCGGTGGCATTCAGGGGTTGTAGTTCCGCCTTTGGAGCCGATGTTGTGGTAGTTGTTGGTGCTTCTGTGGCCCTGGGGCGGGGAGGAAATATGTTTCCAGAGGTACTGACCACCTCGGTCAAGGGGCTTATGGAGCTCGCCGAATCGCTGCTGCCGGCAATCGTGGTAGCTGGTAAATCCGTAGTTGTGGGTGGTGAGATTGATGTAGGATTTGATTCGTGAGAAATTCCTATTTTAAGTGTAAGTGAGGGTAAGGTGACCATGCTCAGCATGGCTATAACCAAAAGCCTCTTCATGGTTACTTAAATTCCACACCGTAATCCTCAAACTTCCTAAAGATTAAGCTAAGATCAACGATTACTTTTCCTGAGCTAAGAGTGTGCAGCTTGTAACTAAGGAACACAGAGATAGAGTCTAAAAATATATATTAATTTGGATTCACATCTTACCGCTCGACTCCTGAGTACAGAAGATCCGTCTTGCTAAGAGCCGCTCCTCCGCCTCCGAATTGCTCGCGAATCGACTGCCACCAGCCGTTAGGCGCTACCTTCCAGGTGCTGATCTCCAGGCGATGTGACCCGGGCGTGGTCGGCACGTGCACAAAACCGTAGCCCACCGGCCAGGATTGCTGCAGGACGTTGACGGCGTACACCTCTACCAGCAGTCGGGGCCAACCCAGGACGGATGCGGCACTGAGGTGAATGTCCAGTGGCTGGGCAAAGTCAGAGCAGTTCTGCAGCCGGTGGGAGCCCACGTGACTCTGACCCTGCACCTCTCCCTGAACTAGGCGCCAGGCGTTACCTTCCAGGAGAGAGAGAGAGAATCGGGGGTGCTTTGTGGTCAGGTGCATTGTGCTGCACTTACCGCTCTGCAGACTCCACTTGCAGTACAGATGCGGCTCGGCAAAGTCAACTGCTTTCAATATCTGTCCGATTATGTGCACCTCCGCCATCAATTCATCAAGCTTGATGCCCAAATGATACCTTCTAACCGAATGGGTTTCGATTGACAGTCAGAGTAAAGTTTTCGGTTTGTTGTTTTGGCTGTTTTGGCACCTGTCCGTTGGCAACGTAACCTGGACGACAACAGGGCTGGGAGCTGCCAACTCAACCGGTACGAGAACTGGTTCAAAGGGACTAAGGATGGTGGTGGGTCTAGGACTTTAATTTCTTTTCTCATTTTCACAGAGACAGAATAACCTCTAAATATCATATGGGAAATGGTTATATCCTGATATTTAATATAATAATAATTATAATTATGGGATATTATATTTTATGACTTTAAATCCTGCCACAACTGAAGATATGTTATCTTTTCTAAATAAAATTAACAGTATACATTTTAGCTTGCGAAATTCCGATATTTATTTCTTTTTAACTGTTTTGCAAGTACAAAAATAACGCTTTGAAATAACGCTTTAATTTCTATGAACTACTGTTTAGACCAAAAAATTACTTTTAGAGACGGTTGCTTAAGTCTTTTAAACTTGTAATTTCTCTGAATTAAAGGAAAAAAAGTGTAATAATTTAAACTAAATTTGGAATGTGGCACATCATCATGAAACTAGTCCAAATAAATCACTTCATGGAATACCAAGGGTCTTCCTTCACCTGTGGAATATTGTATCGAATCTTGACGGGCGCTAGAATATGCATGATCATGTGCTTGCACTCGCTGGAAGCTGATGGTGTCTTTGGGAAGACCAGCGATTGATTGATGCGTTTCAGCAGGATGTGCACATTGGAGCCATCGTAGGGTAGACGTCCAAATACCATCGCATAGCAGACAACGCCACTGGCCCAGATGTCCGACATAAAGGGATCATAGGCCACGCCTAATAAGATCAAAGTTTAAAGCATTAAGTCTAAAGTGGGCAGAATACTTACCCTTTAAAATCTCGGGGCTGGCATAGGCATAACTGCCGCAAAAGGTCTTCGATAGGATCACTTGGTTGTCGGAGGTTCTGGTATCTTTGCGAGCAAACCCAAAGTCAATGAGTTTCAGGTTCCAGTTCTCATCCAATAGCAGATTCTCGCACTTGATGTCACGATGCACTACACCCTTGCTGTGGATATACTCCACTGCACTCATGAGCTGCTTGAAAAGCGTCCGTGACTGCGGTTCATCCAGAAACTTGCGCTCCCGCACATAGTCCAGCAGTGTTCCATTCTCAGCCAGCTGCATAATCAGGTAAACCCTATGGATTTGGATTAATTACGGAGCCAGGAATTTAAATATAAATAAAGATTAAGAAATAGAGAAGATCCTCTGACAAAGAGGTGTTAGCTAGATCTTTTTCAAGGTATAAAAGACAGACTCACCTGTGACTGGTCTCGATACTCTGGTAAAAGGTAATTAGGTTTTCATGATGAAGACCCTTAACTGCTTCAATCTCGCGCGGCAGAAACTTTTGCGTGTATTCTGATGGTGCCTTGACCTTTGAGATGATTTTCACTGCCACCCGCTTGCCATATTCCTCGGAGAAACCGATCTTGACCTTGGCATAGTTTCCCGTGCCGATCACTTTGCCCAGAATGATGCCATGCTCCTCGAGAATAGTTTTCTGCGGCTTGGTCTTGTCATCGTTCTTGGTTAAGGTACCACTAGTCGACGAAGTCCTTTGTTGCGGCCTGTCGCTAAAGGTGTACACCTTCTGCTCCTGGCGACGACCCGAGTTCTGGTCAGTGACGAGGTCTTGAGATGAGCTGGCTCCGATGACTAGCAAAGGACGTGGGGCGTTTTAGTGATGCCTTCGATGCGCTACAGTATTTACCTTCGCCTTCGGGTTTTCGCTTTGGCGCTGCCGCCATTTAATTGGGTACAAAAAGTGCTACTCTGCAACTTCGCCAGTGTGCAGCTAATATTTCAAAAGGATGCCGTGCCCAAGAATCATAGAAAGGAAAGCATATTCTAAAATTTTGAATTTTGAAAGAGTCTCAATAAAAGAAATCTGACATTTTGTGAGTATTATTTCAAACGTTCAAGGAACACAATGTCAAGTTAATGTTTGTAAGCTCTTGAGGCATTATCAAAGTAGATTAGTCACTAAAACAGGTGTTTTTAATGTAAATTCGGATATATTTACTTACTTTGTTGATCTTTGGATCTGCAAGAAAATTACTGGAAGGAGATACTACATATAATCTTGTAAAGAATTGCATTGTATTTTAAAGGCAGTTACAAAATAAATATATATAAGAAAGGTCTTCTTTTTTATACCATTGAAGAAGACTTATTTTTTAAAAAATAGGTTGACGATATGGGGTCAGCAAAAGGTTAGCGCGGATCTTTGTGGGTCATCCATTTGTTGGTTTTTCATGTCGTTTGCTTTTAAATGTCTGAGCATTTCCGCATATTGCGACGCACTTCAATAACAATTTAATTAAAAACTGAAATCCTTCTCACATCAACACGAAAGTAAGCGTATAAATACATATATGTATATACAATGTATATTATACAAATGTGGAAAAAATAATAGCATCGATAGGGATATCAAAGTTTAAAAAACTCATAACTACCGTAAAAAAGCATTAATTTTAATTCGGAAAGCTTTTGTATGTTAGTTTTTAATATGTTAATAAATCTGCGTATTCAATTTTAAATAAAAGTGATTTTAAAATTTTGTCAATTTTTTTTTCATTTTTAATGATGTAAAATTGGAAAAAATTGAAAATTTTTTTTACTGCCTGAGGTGACTAGTTGAACTCGGCTGTTGATGCTGATCAAGAATATATATGATTTATAGGGTCGGAAATGCCTATTTCACTGCGTTTGAAGCTATAACACCCTGCAATGGTATGTTACCAAAAGGACCTTTTGGTATTAGAACAACCAGTAAGAGTTATGAAATATTTATATATATATAATAAAATTATTATGATTTTACTAATGTCTGTTATTATATTTAGATTCAGATTTAGATTCATTAAATAACGTGTTAAGTATTGTGATGTTATTGTTTACTTTATAAGTTTTTAATCATTAAATAACATGTTAATAAATTCAATATGCAGTCGCTTTCTTTAGAGCTATAATTTTCGTCGCCACTGTATATTCAAGTGAATGCATTTTGTTTATACATATGTTCGCCTGAAAATAATGAATAATTATACTCTTGCAAAAAGTATTATAAGATACTTTTTACAGGAAGTCTGTACGACAATGAAAGGAGCGTTCTTTATCTTTATCCAGCCAAGTCTGAATACTTATTTTCCCTTGATAAACCTAAGGATCTTAATTATAAATCTGGCTGTTAAAACTTAATCCCTGTTAAATTTAATTAAATTGTTCTGACATCGTTTCATTTCACTTCAGATAATAGCAACGACCAATGCAAAAAAGTGTTACAAATATTCAACAGATACACCTTTTTGTTTGATTCGTCCAGTTTTCCATCATTGTAATTTCACAGGAAAGGAATTAGTTTTTTTTTTAATATATATATATTTTTTAACGTAATTATAGTTCGAATAGAATTATAAAATGCGCAAAAAAGAGCATTTGCAAGGCTGCAAATGAATGAAAGACAATTTTTAATAATTCCATTCACCTCTCGGCTACCGTCGCCATCATTGGTTATTAAAAGTTGTTTACGTTGTTGGTGTTCTGATGTTCTGTTGCGGAACAGCAACAGTTTTATATATTGTTATTATTACACTACACCATACAGTGCGGTTCTGCACAAGAGCTGTGAACTCATTTAATTAAAATAAATGCCACAAAAAATAAATGTTCGGGAATGCATTCCCGCCCCCATTTGCCGCAGATTTCCTCTCCCCGGGCGTGGCAGTTAAAAAAAAATGGACTGAAAAATTCAAAAAAAGAATAATTCAGCAATGGCGGGGCGACTTAGCGAACTTTTAGCAATTTGCACACAAAATTAAACAACCTCCGAGCTAAGGGGGAAATTTGCAAATTATAATTATTTTATACCTGGACCGAAAAGGTAAATTTGCCTTTCACTCCACAATACGCGGCACTGAAGAGCTTTCCATAAGCTAACACACTTTCGTGGCTGTAAAAGGCACTGGGGCGTCGGCGGTCTAGATGAGCTCCATCATCACAGAGATTCGCAGGACTCGCAAAAAGGAAATCGTGTAACAAGCGCTGGAGGCGCGGCACTGGGCCACCACCAATTAAGGCTTACAACTTTCAATTAAAAACTTTGCAGCGCATTGAAAAATGCAGCAGAGTGACAGGTAAGGACGCAGAAAAAATTCTAGTGAGCCTTACTTGTAACCAAAATTCTTAGAAAGGATATCAGTTTGATGGAAAATTTCGATCGGTATGAGCTATTATTAACTATATACAAAATGATAATAACTTTAAATTTAAGTTACAAATATGAGTTTTCATTTAGATCTACA